AATTCCTCCTGATTCCACTCCTTTCCACGCACTTTTTTTTTAGCAGATACTCCCCCTGACAAGAGAAACACTTTAGAGCTGCCAGTTGGCATTTTATTTCCATACCTATCTCCACATCCCATCCACAGCAAAAAAGAATGGTAGAATGGGAATCACCCCAAAACATCTCTTTCCAGCACTATGTTCATCTCAATTGATACACTGTTCTTTGTCCCTGAGTGCCCACTCCTTTCACTAACTGAAAAGAGAAAGAATTAGTAGGGAAAAAAAGGAATTAAAATAACTTACGAGACAGTGAAAAGCCATGCAGGATATAGTGAGTTTCCATGTTCACCTGACAAAGGAATGAGAAACAGAGGCTTTGAAGAACAGAAGCACAGCTAAACATGAAGTACCGTAAAAATTAATCCAAACAGGGGAAAAAATAAAGCAACAGTAGTAGGAAAAGGCCTGGTGAATTGAAACCACAGATAAAGACAACAATGAAAGAAAGAAACACAGAGATGATGTAACATACAATACAATTCAGCCAGCAATGTTTTCCTTTCAAGAATTATTGAGAAAGAATATATATAAGAGGTATGATTAGGAAATGCAACGTAAGAGTAGAACCAAGCAAATATATGGAGGTAAATGGAGTTTTCTGGATTATCATACTGTGCAAAGATGACACAGATCCCATGATTTTCATCAACTACAGCTCACACCTGCTAGAGCCATACAATGATCAGCTAAGCTTGCTTGTAAGGGCATCCCTCCTCCCTCAATACCGCATTACCTCAGGCACTACCCTGGTAGAACTATACTGTTCCCTAGACCACAGCAACATAGATGACTGCACCACAGCCCTTTCCACATAAACAAAGCCCCTGCCCAAAGACAAAAGCAGTTGCAGTGATTTCCTGTAATCCCAGATTAATCTAAAAAACATATTATATATCTGTAATGCATACAGAAAAGGCAGTTCTGCTTTTAAATTACCTATTCTGGATGGGATTCTAATCAGATCCATATGGACTAAAGAGTTATGCTAATGATTTACATCCACTGAGCTGTGCTCCTAGAAAATAACTGTTTGTCTTAATTCTAAATTAATTTTAGTGTATGAAATATAGAACATCTTCATGTCTCCAAGAATTATACAGGATATGGAAAAACTACTGTTTTTATTGGCTACCTAAGTTTTCCAAAAGTCAGTTTCTATTTATAACTTGACTTGTACTGAATGTCACACTTAGGTTTAAACTAATTTTGAGGTCTTTGAAAAACTGAACAGCTAACAGTTGAGCAGTTTTGAGGAACAAATCTGCTTTTAATCTCACAGTTACTTCTGTTCCTCTCAGAGTTTATACACTCTTAACCATAGCATTTTATTAATACTGGTCAGCTGGAAAAGAGGTGAGATTTTAATCATTAGCAAGCTGTCAAAATTTGAAAGGACAGCCCCCTGCCCCCAAAATGTTTTGTGAATCAAAACCAGGTTTAGGGACGTGCCAAAAGAAAAGCAAAAGTATATGCAGTGTGAAGCCTTTTAGATGTCTACAATATGTCTACAAAATAAATATATATTGCCTTAATTGAATTGAAGAAAGATTCACCAATGCAAGAAATTGCTTATCATGATGCTTCAATTGAAGGTTTTTTAATTTTCCTAAAAATCCATTCATTTTCAGAAGCAAACTTACTTTTATTATACATTTATATTAACTGCCATGGGAGTAAATGTATTTTAATGAAAAAGCAGCTTTGAAGGAAACCAAGAAGTTGAAAATTGCATGTGCAAGGATTCAGCTATTTTCAAATTCAGCCAGTAGTGTCCATGAACTCCTGGTACTGCAACATAAGAGACTCAAAGAGATGGATTACCTCAGCAATTCATCTGAAAGGACACAGTTCTGAACTAAAGTGCTCATTGTGAGTTCATACCTTAAAAAATACTCTTCCAACAAAACTGAACCATGATTAAAGATGATCAGATCCCAAATGGACTGAAAAATAGCAGGATATATTTAACCAATAACCCAGCGTGAACTATTCTGGTATTCCTGGGCAGTAATGTCCCTGTCACAGAGGTATATTATGAAAAACAAGAGCTAAAACTCTAGACTAACCAAACAACCTCAAACTATCTCAATCTACGTAGGCTTTTGGTCTTCAAGTCCTTGCAAAGATTAACATCCTAATTTGCATAATTGTTGACATAATTCTGTAAAGTGATACTATCAAGTTGGTGGAGTATACGTATGTCCTACATGCGCTGAATCGAGAGAGTCAAGCATAACTATCAAGCTCTAGTAGCCACAAATTCCTAACAAATAAATACTTGGATTTTCTCTTCAGATCTGTGTTAAACCTGAAGTCATGAGACCAGTTTTGCCAAACACAAGAGCGGCAGAAAGTTATCAACTGGTATCTATAAGGCACGAATGTGCCTTTGTCTTCAGGTTACCAAACATATTCAAGCAGCAAAAGTCTGCAGGATATGAGCTCTGAACAACACTACAAGAAAATTAGTTAAAGAGAAAGTAGGTTTTATGTTTCAAACTGATGATGGTCTTAAGGTCCATCCCCCACGTTTCATACAGTTGCTGACACTAATGTTGAAAGCCAAAGTGCTTGCAGTTGGTTCTCCGATGTGCCCAAGACACTTCAGTGAGATAACAAGGTAGCATTATGTAGCAAAAACTTGCAAGCATTACTTTATATTAGAGCTGAAGGAACAGGAGACCTACCTACCATAGTATACATCAAATAACTTCCGTATTAGAGCCCTCAGTGTTTTCTAAAGTTGAAAACTAGCAGGCATTCTTAGCTTCAGGCTAAATCCTTCACCAGGTGAAGTACATTACAATGAAAATTATCAAATCCTATCTGAATTGAAGCCTGTTCCCATACCAGTTGAAAACAAGTGAGAAACAGCCTGATACCTCTACCCTGTTCTGCCAGGCCAGTGAACACTCCTCCTTATCAGTGAGTGTAGTGATAAAATGAGGAGTAACAGTTTCAAACTGAAAGAGGGTATGATTAGATATTACGAAGAAATTCTTTACTGTAAGGGTGGTGAGACACTTGAATGGGTTGCCCACAAAAGCTGTGAATACCCCATCTGTGGATGTGCTCAAGGACAGGTTGGATGGGGCTTTTGAGCAACCTGATCTAGTGGAAATTGTCGCTGCCCATGGTAGGGGGGGCTGGAACTAGATGGTCTTTGTGGCCCCTTCCAACCCAAACCATTCTATGATTCTATGAGTATTACAAAGTCAGAGGCAACCAGTTTCTCATCCCAAGAGCAATAGAAATTGTACAAATATTTAATCTGCTGGAAGCAAGACTAAGAACCAGGCATCCACTTCTCCTTCCTTATTTCTTTACCTTGGCACTTTTGAGTTCCTTTTCTAAATTAACCCACTGTACTGACAAGAGAAACAACCCAGAAAAATAAATACATAAATACATGTCATGGGTTGACCACAATAAATAACCCCAAAACCCCACCAAAAATCCAAACCACAAACTCTAAGCCTTTCAGTCATCGAAGGTAACATGAGGACTGCAAGCACGGCCTTGGCAGTTCCCATATCCTTGTACTCATAGGTTAGAGCACCTCAAAGAACCACTTCCTAGTCATACTTCCTCCTTTTGTGGGGCCAGAGAGTAGTGTCATAGTCTGCCAGTCATGGTATGAAAGGGCTGAAGAGGAGTGAAAGACCCCCAGTGTCCTATCCAGCTGTTTCAGTGACAAAAACAAGACTTATTTGCTGACCCCTTCAGTATGGCCTAAATGAGAGATGCCAATGCAGAGGGGTTTCCTGGGTCCACCTTCCATCAGCACAACCTTAAATCCATGCTAGGGCTCTGGCATTTGCATAAAAAAAACTGGATTAGAGATGTGTTTTGGTTGAAAACTGACCACATTTTCATTTATTTTTCAGGTCAGTTTTCAGCCAGATCATATGGCTGTACAGAGGTGAAGGCTGGTACAAGGAAGGTAAAGAATACCTTTGGTTCAGAGAAGATGGGATCAGCTCCCTCCACAGCAGCACAATGCTTAGGCTGGCTCAAAGTGTTTAAGGATTTGTTTCCCAATATGATCAGCCCGCAGGCCTTCCTCATGCTCCCACACTACAGAACAAAGTCATACAGCATTTGCAAAAGTATAAGGTGAACATCCCTTTGCTCAGGTGCACAGATCAAACTGCTGTCTAGTCCTCTGCTTCCAGAACTAGCTCTGCTTTGTTATTCACAGTAACTAAGAAGGAAGAATTTCTCTGTATGTTCACCTGAAAAATCAAGATGACAGCTCTGTGAAATATTCTATAAAGCTGACAGCATTTCTCAGGTATGTTTTGGCTTGTTATACAGTTTTGAGCTTGATATTTGTACACAAAACCAAAACTGACATACATAAAGGTCATAGTATAACTCCCAGAACCATGCCATATTAGGAAACAATGGCTTCAGAAAATTAGTGCTTCCATCAACCTCAGGAAGCAGGTAGGTTGCAAAGTCCTGCTTCTGAGCAAGAGATCTAAGATAGAGATTACTGTAGCAGCCTCCTGAGCTAGCACACAGCAAACCATAGAACATGTCAGTACTGAAGGAAGGAGACTGGAAACCCTACTACTTTCTTAACTCAGTACTACTGCTTTCTTTTAATAAATAGTCTCATGAACACTGGTATTGAAAAGGCTACAGGAAAAACAAGACAAAACTTCCCAAGAAAACCAAAGTGAAGTGAAATGGCATATTTAAAAGCTTAAAATTTCATCAGACAACCACACCTACTAAGTTAAGCAGTTACAAAAAGCCCAAGACAAACCAAAAACTTTAGACAAACCTCCAGAAAAGGTCACAAACAATACACACCATCATTAAATAGACTAGCAAATTTTAGAAATGCTAATCAAGAAAATACTTTAAGTACTTGATGGTATGATCTCCTATAAAAAGTGAGGGTTTTCAAAGTAGTGAAATGTGTTTGATATATTAGAAATACTTACAACTACTCCACTCTTGGTGACAGTTTCCCGGTACGTAAAATTGCACACTGCCCAAGCTAGGTAATAGGTGGACATAAGAGGGGTCTGTGAAAAGTGATCTGTAACCCATCCATCTTCTTCAAAAACAGAAGTTTCAACTGGCATGTTGGACAAAGACAAGTAAGTTGCTTGATGTCTGATACTGATTTTGAAAGTGGCCTTGTAGATGGGCTCATCAAAGCAAGGAAAGGCTTTTCTGGCGTGAGTAGGAGAAAACTGCGTAACAGCAAGAAACCTAGAAAAGCAGCAAACAAAAATAAAAAGTAATTATTAACTGTGCCCAGCACTTGATTCATAAACATACCAAATAAGACATAGCTTCACTATTGTGGTTTAGAGGGGGAAAAAAGTACAACTGTATAACTGGTGAAAACAGTTCAAACAACTGTTTGAACACTGCTTTATCACTTTCTTGCTACCTCTACTGTAATGCAATTGATATAAAGTAACGGTCTACAAATTTCATACAAATTTGCAGACACCACAATGACGTTAAATAAACAACTCCTTGTCTTTTATCAAACTTCAGATTCTAGCAGTATTTTTCATCAATATGTGGGGAAAAAAGTGAGCCACTAGTGGTTATACAATATAAAACAAGCACAGTCCTCAGTTCAAACCAGGACTTAAGAGCCTTTGGGGAGTTCACTCTGCCCTGAGAGACTGACGGGGCACTTTGCCTTTCTTTGGGCATGAGAACTTACGGTCACACAGTGCACACAGGAGGGTCATTGTTTTCCACTGCTGATTACTTCTGTATCGGCTGCACATAGGCCTGGGACACAGTGCTATACAGCACTGCTGTGTCTGTGCATGTCCAAAAACAATTCTGTGAGCTTTGCCGAATTACAAATGTAAGTAAATGATTAAACAAGCACAGACTATTTCACTGCTCTTCTACATGTGGTTTTCTTTTCTGGAGTATTTTATAGAGAAGAAATAAATATTTTCAGTTAAAGAGTCAAATTATTAAAAGATCTCTAAAGGAGGAAAAGGTATTTATTATGCCATTGTAGAGAATGGGAAGGCTTTAGCTTGACACTAAAATCTGTAACTGTGTACTTTGGAACTAAAGAGATTTTAACCCAGATATAGAAAAGGAGACTTTCTGGGTAGAAACTTATACATAAAGAGAAAACCCATGTGCAACGATCTTTTTGCAGAAACAAGAAGTTACACTTCAAAGGTTGAATTATGGGGTTTGATAAAAGTATTTTCTAGAGGCATGCAGAATGAAAAAATTACCATAGGCCAACTATGTAACTGTAAAGGTAGCACACACATAGCCTTTTTAAGTAGTATTGATTCATGTCTTACGTTCCAAGGTTCCCTCAGTGGAAATAACCATGCAATTTTAGATACCAGGCAAACATTTATCAAAATTTTAGAGGCTGACTAATCATCTGTTATTCCTCTGAGGGAAGAGGATGGGTGGACAGTTTTGATATAATGAAAACGGTGGCACCTATTATTAATCAGTCTATAACCATTATTTTGCAATGTGATACCCTCTAACACTGAGGAAGAAAACAGGTAGCCCATACAGAAAGTGAAGTATCTAATTAACTTTTTCTAAAACTTCTTGGGTTTTACACATATTTTGGAGAAAATGAAGAAATAAATTTATTGAAACATTATACCTTTTTCTTGCTATAGTGCATCTGCACCTGGTAGAACTAGATATATGTTTTCCAGTGAATTATCATCTCTTTCAAATAAGGATAATTTTTTAAAAATTTGAAAAATTTTTCCACCGCTGAAGCATTTACGATCAGTCTAAAATAAAAAGCCTTTTTTGGCTAGTACTTATCGAAGGAATTCATCGTACCACATTTTTCTTGTCTCATTACAAAACATGGATTACTAAAACCATAACTCTGCACAAGGCTGCTAAATCTAAGGTTAAAATTTGGTGCCAGGTATTCTAGTGTTAATCCAGAAAAATTCCATATTATCAGTGGATTTGTACTAGTGCAACAAAGCCAAATCAGCCAATTAAATGAAGCAAAGCAACTTAATTTATATACAAAGTATTTCAAGTGCACCTGATTCTGCATTCTAGGCACACTCTAAGTAGCTACAGACATCAACAGAAGCCTCAAGTGAGCATGGAAAACTGTACTGGCCTGTTATTAATAAAGCAAGAATGATGAACTTTCCTCTGAAATTAACAATTTTAATGAGCTCCAACGTACATGTAAATGTATACTCGGGGAACACCATTTATACTGTGACACTCTCCAAATAAGGAATCTTTCCCTTGTCCCCCCTCCCCAGTCTCCCTCTTTAATACTTTTATATTTAATACTCATTAGGCCACTGAAACAATCTCTTCACCAGGTAATAAATCCTGGTAATTTGATAACCCTCGTAAACGCTTCATCATCTGTATTCTCTCAGACAGGTAGATATATATCCACATAGATGTAACTGGGCAAACACTGGGTGGTCAATATTTCATACTAAAAATACATCAACTACCAATAACGGTGATATTTATAACACGAGCATTAGTATCAAACATCAATTTGCTTGTTGTGCCATAAAGCAAAACAAACAAAAAGTTAAAACTGCTTCCCAAAAACTAAACATTTATACTTAAAAAACCCAAAGAAACTAAACCCAAAACATTGTCTCTGTTTATGTACTCCTCTCTGTGTTCAAGTAAAACAAGCAAACTTCTATACCATAATAAAACTGAAGAGCAAGCCGAGTATTTCATCCATCTCTTTACACACTACTCTGGGCACCAACATTTTTATCTCCAATTCCCAAAAATATGACCATAAAAAGTTTTACTTTAGGGAATAACAGGTTTGCAGCCTGTTTTCTCAGCATACCCACAGCAGTACTTCACAGCTGTTTTAATCCCATCTCATCTATTAAAGGAAGAAGTTTCCTGAACAACCTATCTATTTTGACATCTTAGTTGTTACAAGACAAAAAAATATGTCTGTTTGTTTTGTTTCTGTGATGTAAGAATTTTTTTTCCTTTTCATTTATGCCACAGTTTGATGTTCACTTAAATATGCCTGCATATTTTTACAGTACTCTACAGTACTTCTGTATTATATGTCTGTATTATGTGCCAGTAAATTCTGGCACATAACGCTAAGCAAATTTGTAGCATATCACTTGCATTTTACATCTCAAATACAGTAGAAAATACTTAAGTCAGAAGCTGCTTTTATGCAGCTGTCAAGATTTCAGACTGATTTATGACTTTCACCTGTGAAGACCACAGAAACTAACTTTAGGGAAAAAAAAAACATGTACAAGAAAAGGGAAAAAAATGATGGTTTGGACCCCTTTATAGCAATGCAGCTACTGTATTTTAATCAGATAGAAAGATGTCAAAAGCTAAAGCCCTGCTGGAACATCAAACTCTCCCAGAGCATGCAAGAAGCCTGTCTGTCTATCATAATAGAAATTGTCCACATTTAAGGACCACAAATGGTTATATGTATTACATTAAAAAATGGGTTATTAATAAAGATGCAAATTGTTACATTGTAAAAGCAGGTTCTGATCAAAGAAGTTCCCTGCTTTCGAATGCGTATTATTCACTTTATACTACAGTGAGTCATTAAGCCTGTGCCAGTTGAAAAACACTACTTCTATTTAACACCTGAAACTATAACCACACAATGATTACAGTTTTAAAAACATTTTACAGAAAGAAATATAAATGAACTGATGTAAAGAAAACACATGCTATTGATTTCAATATAGCAATGCTACCTTACATAAGGTAAGGTATCTATCCTTAGATCTTGTATGACTATACTTAGTGTATTAAAAACAAAGCAATTCATATCTGAAAAGTTACACACAGAATACTGGGAAACGCATTTTATATTGCCTTCCACCCTGTGTCTTAAATTACTCTGATGACTGAAAAAGTGAAAGGACCTCTTTTTGTTGGTGGTGGTTTTGAAATCTTAACTAGGGAATCTGTATTGAAGCATAGTACAGTAACTCTGGAAAAATGTCACTGCCGCACCTATTCGACATTTCAATTACTCCTATACAAAGTCTAAATACACAAGAATAATATCTGCTTAAATAACTTCTTGGATTTGTAAAGTGAATTATACCTCCTGCTATTAACAGTACTTTGTTTTCTGATTTGCCTATTTCCATACAGGTCTGTAAGAACTCCCAACTGTCCTAGTCATTCAATCACCCGTGATAACAGGCATTTTATCCGCATCTTTTCCTACAACCATGTTTTTTCAAATTTCCATTTTATTTCACTTTGATGACAAATTGCAAAAACTTAATTTCAATTCTGCTTGTAGTTCTAACATCAGACTGTTTAAACTCTCAGTAATCATAGTAATGAAAATATGTTTTAATAAAAGGACTTTTGACTTAATTCAGTTGGTGAGGATGCTTTTCATGTTTGACTAAGTATTTTTGCCCAGTTCTTCCAACTATAAACTCTTTGTTTCACTTCGCAGTATAAAACAGTAAAATTCAGGAAGAGAAAACCTGTCACTGCCGGTGTTTCATACAGATGTTTCAAGAAAGGATGGCTTAAAAATAAACTAATTCTAAAATTATAAGCCATGCCAGAACCATGAAGCCCATCCCGCCTTTCTTTTCTATTACAAAGCCTGACTGTGGTTAGAAAACTACTTTAAAAAAGAAAGCCTCTGTAACTGCCTAAACGGGGCCCTCCACAGTGACCTTGCCCACCATAACAAGGGCCTCGACAGGAACCCAAGGGGCTATAACAACATGAGTAAATACTGAATCTTGTTCTGCATGAAAACTAATCAGGTTTGCCCGGTCACAGGGTGTAAACCTGCAGCGACTCAGCTGCATAGGTGTAAACGCATTCACGTTATGTGAAATCACATCCCACAACGTTTTTGCTTCAGATAATAGAATAAAATCAAACCAGCACAGAAGTCTCGCTGCTGGCAAAGCTCTGTCACACAAGGGCACACGGCAGCCAAACACGGAGTGTTTATTAAACAGACCCGGAGTCTCCTCTCCGGGCCTGCCCCGACAGGGACCGAGCGGATGGTCTGCTTCATTCTTGCCACCGTGGAAGTTGGCTCGTTATCCCCGTCCGTCCCCAAGCTGCGCTGGGGTATCTCCTGACCCGCAGCGTTCCCCGCCGCGGCGGGCGCGCAGGCGGAGCGCTCCGCTCACCTGCCAGCAGCCCCGGCGAACCCCGGCCGGGCCTCCCGCACGGCCCAGCCCGGTCCGCCCCGCAGATCGCGGCAGCTCCGCCCGCCCCCCTCGCTCCCACGCAGCCCCTCAGCCTCGGTGCCCTCCAGACGCTCTCCCGAAACCAGCCGGTGGCGCGGAGCGGGCAAGGACTCGCAGTCCCCCAGAGCCTCCGCAGCTCCGCCCTGCCAGCGCCAGCCTTAAGGGGACGCCCAGCGAGCGGCGGCAGCGGCAGGCGAGGCCCGGCCTGTGCTCACCGACCGACCGATCGGACTTGGCGGCCGCTCCTCCCCGCCGCAGCCCTTGCCCGGGCGGCCGGCACAGCCCTGCGCCCCTCGGCGGCACCGCCGGGGCCGGGCGGCGCGGAGCCCGCGGCATCACCCGCCTGGCAGCTCCGCGGCCGCCGGGTCCTAGCGCCGCCCCGCCCGAAGTTCGGCGCTGGGGCTGCCAACTTCGGACCGAGTTGCGACGCGGCCGCTCCGCTACCTTCGCTCGCCGTGGAGAACGTAGGAGCTGCGAAAGAAGCCCAGCAGTTCGTTCTCGATGAGGGCGTTGTAGATTATCTTGAGGTTGTAACTTCTTTGCACCTCCAGGCTGCGGTTGAGGACCACGACGAACACCTGTGTCTGGGGGTAAAAGAAGGTGCGGGCCACCCGCACGCCGCCGGCCAGCTTGTCCTCGGCCACGCGGACTGCTTCGATGTGCATGCGGTGGGCATGCAGCACGATGTACCGGCTGGCGTTGCGCACCTCTAGCTGCACGTTCACCTCTCCGCTGAAGGTGAAGTTCTCCATGAAGGCGCTCAGCATCAGGTTGTAGTGCAGCGGCCGCAGGTGCCGCGGCAGCCGTGGCCGGGCCCAAGGCGGCAACTCCTGCCGCCGCTGCCACTCCTCCTCCTCCTCCTCCTCCTCCTCTTCCTTCGCCGCTTCCCCGCCCCGCGCCTCCTCCTCCGGCTGGCCGGGGGGCTGCCCCGCACCGGGTGGCTGCCGGGCCGCCCCCGAAAGGCTCCCGTTGCCGCTGGCCCGCGGCGGGCCGTCGGCGGCGGCGCCGCACTCCTCGAAGCGGACGCTGAGCAGCACGGCGATCATGGTCACCGCCAGCAGCGCTAGGATGGAGACGGCGAAGCCCAGGACCAGCCGCTTGTGCACGGTGATATGCCTCTCCGTGGTGCGGGGTCTTGGCCCCGCCGCCTCGGCCCAGGGTCCCGGCGTCAGTCCCCGGCTGCCGTTCCGCAGGGCGGCCTCCTCCTCGATCATCATGGGGGTGACGGGCGGGCGCTTCTCCCGCTTCTCCTCCAGGGCCATCACGGCAGCGCCGCTCCCGCCTCCCACGAGGCCGCCGCCACCCGAGGGGGCCCCGAAAGCATGGAAAGCTCCGAGGCAGGGGGGCTCTCAGCCCAGGTGGGACGCACCGCCCCTCACTTCCCAACAAGCCGCATCACCCTGGCCGCCGGGAGCCCCGCTGGGGAGAGGCTCCCGGTCGGGGGGACGGGACGAGGTCGGGTCAGGTCGGGCAGGAGGCGGCGGGCGCTCTCCGCCGTTCGGTCGCCGGGGCCGCGCCGCGCAGGCAACTTGTGCGGCTTCTGCGGGGCACTTCAGCACATGCCGCTGAGCACACCTCGGCGCCAAGGGGGAGGGCTCTGCCGCCCCGGCCCCCCCGCTAGCACCGCCGACCGCAGGGAGCTCTCTTTTCCCCGCGTCCCGAGTCGCCGGGGCCGGGGTCGGGCTCCTCGCCCGGCCCCAGCAGCACCCGAGCCATGCGCGCCCCGGGGGCGCCGCCGCGCAGGTCGGGCCGTCCCCGCGGGGCTCGCCCGGCACCGGAGCGGTGGCACCGGACAGCGGCGTGAGCCGGGCCCGTCCTCCTCTTCCTGCGAGCGGGTCGGGCTCCAGAGAGTCGCTCCTCGCGGCTCCTCTTATTTTCTCTTTCCTGTCTCCTGCAGGTACAAAGCAGTCTCCCGGCTGGCTCGAGCAGAGGCGGCTATATATAGGCACTGGGGAGAGGCGAAGGAAGGAAAGGGATGGGAAGGGGGGAGAGGCGGGCAAGCCCCGCCGCCCCTCGGCTTCAGCGGCTGCTCCGGCTGCCGGCGGTGACGGCGGCGCCCCGGGGGAGCGGGCGGGGGCGGGAGGCGGGGGCGACGCGGGGATGAGGGAGGCTTTTCTCCGGTGTGTCACACGCGGCGGCTCCGGGGGAGGTCGCTGAGGCGGCGGCGGGAGCCCCGGCCGGGGCGGGCGAAGAGCGAGGGCCGGGCAGCCGCCGGGGACGGGGCGGCTGCAAAGCCTCCGAGCCGCAGGACTGCCCGGGATTACACGCAAATGCGTGTGCTCGCCACATAAATATTGAACGCCCTTACTGTGTCGTATTTATAGAGACTTAATAAAAAGCCGCCGACTACGTGTTTGGACGACAACAGTGCTGTCATACTAACGTGGGGATGGAGCTCAGAAAAGGATAAATACTCCTACTTAAATCGATAGGATTAATATGCCGAGAAAAAAATCGCTCCGTAAGCTCTGGCTGGAACTCTCAGAAATCCCTTTGCCGTTCCTCCACGGACCCAGGACTGCCAGTGCTGAACCCCGCTCCTCAGCTGGAGGGATTTTAAGGATATGTTAAATGCTGCCTGGGGTAATACAGCAACGCTTCGCTTGAGTAGCCCTTGGAGCGAGCCTCGGTCTGGAAAACTGAATCAGCCCACTTTTTCCACCTGTCCCCAAACTTTTGCGTGTAGGGACTGCAGAAACACAGAATTAATATATACAGCGAGGATGTAGATCAATGTCTGAAAGCACCTCTGTTCCCCTTATTTTGCTTGCATATGTCAAAACCTGCCTCTGTTCATTTTCTTTTTTGAAGCTCTTTAGCTCCAGTCTTGTAAGTAGTTACAGATGTCTCTATCCACGGCATTCAGTCCTGTGGAATCTACAGGAATACGTGCTGTACGTCAAGTTAAATGCATACATGACAATTTGCAGGATAAAGGCCTTATTTTCCATAGTGTAGAAAAAAAGAAAAATAAAAATCAAGTCCTACACTTCTTTCATAAGCCAAGCAATTCTGCAGAGTTTCATGAAATGTGATGTATTAGCCATTTCACTTCAAGAGGAAATGCCTGATCTGTTTTCCCTGAATCTATGACATCACTCAAACCAATTTTGTCTAACGATTGCTAGTTTAAATATAAGGAATTTACTATCTTCCGTATATGCTCCTTATATTTCCTTATATGTTTCTATAGAAGGATTGTATTTAGCTCTACTGTCCCTGGAAGGAAATGAGCACAGTCTAAAAAATGTTTGTGATCTTAACTATTCTTAATTTTAAGTATGGTGATACACTTGCTAATTGTGTTTGTACATCCTAGGAGGACTAAGATTTTGCTCCATAACCAGCATTCCCACATATTTCCTCTGGTCATATTTGACTGCCCATATATTACAACAGGGCAAAGAACAAAAACGTTTTATTATCCGACAATAGCCTTCATTATTTACTGACTAAAGTTTGAGGCAGAAAGGTAGAAAACTATGTGATTTGGGGAAAAAAAAAAAAGAAACAAACTGACACAGCAAACTAACATCTAAAGCTACGGGTTTAAAACGTCAGTTTCTATATGTTTCATTAAACCCTTTAAAAGTGGGCACAAAAGGAAGTGTCTGAGTGCTTTTAAGATTTTGTATGCAAGCTGTCAGTATCAGGCATTAGTAAGATAGGCAGTGTTTCCCTCTATCGCTCTCTGCATTTGATTTTTAAGTTATGTTGTTCCCATCAGCAGTGCATGGAGACATTCAGGCAAAGATGTGATTCAAGAGTAGAAGTAGCCTAAAATACAGTGGAACAGTATGTGTCATTTATAAATATTTTTAATTTTTAATCACATTTTTAATTAAATACAATTGAATAGTTACAGCTTTCACAGTTTAAGGTTTTTGTGAAGCCTTCTCAGAAAAGCAGTGAGTGGCAGGCAGTTGGGCTAACCAGCCCTGCCACTTAAAGGGGGATGTACCACTGTGTGTGTGACAGCACGGGAACATCATTCTGGCCTTCTTGATGTACAAATAACAACCTCAGCCAAGGGAGTCAGTCACACAACTTGGCTTTGAGAATATTGGTCTATAAATTGAAGGGCCAGTACTGGGAAAGGGTACGTAAAAGGTTTAAGGTGCGTGCTAGTAAGAAGCCATGAGGCTGACTCCTTTTAAGCCAAGTTGAAATAGCACTCAAAATACTGGCGTAAGGCATGAGTGATGGGAGTTAAGGCTGTTTATATTCACCTCCAACTTTCGTCATTGCTCAAACGGAGCAGTGAGAGGTTTCCAACCCCTCTCCACCTTTCTTTGGGCTTCTTGTCAGTCTGGAGACTTACAATAAGAAGGTTCAGCTAGGTACTGTGTTAAATAGCTCATGTCCCTCAACTCATCCATCATTCTAAAACTTCACATTACTAGATTAACCTCTTTTTCATATTAGTAATGACAGGTTTCTAAAACATAGCTTGACCAGATACAGGTCAAGGGAGGTATTAACTTACTAATTTGTTCTCAAATGCTACTCTCTGCATGTAGTTCTGTGTACAGACTGATATATAGCCTTTTACTGAGAAAATACAAAGGCATGGGGCTCCCAAAAAACAACGTGTGTACGTCTGGGGAAGATCCTTGTTTTTTCATTTGTCCACAGTTACAAACATAGATGTGGAATGCAACTCCTTTGGTCTTTCTGCAAAGACTGTTGGAAAACACATCAAATCATTGATCATTTTTTCAGTAAAATCCTGATGATGACTCCCTGTTGTTCAAAATTTCCCATAGGCTATCAACATGTTGTATGCAATCTCATTTTATGAGCTTATAGCTTAGGGTTTCACATACTCATACAAAATATGAGTATGTCTCACCTTAACAGAATTGCTGTGAAGATGGCCCTCCCTAGACAAGTATCAGAAGAAACATGTATATACTTCATACAGCACAGTTTCCAATTCTATACCAGCTTGTAGCAGGGCTAGTAAAGAGCTGATGAGGGATCCCCATAAAGCTGTAGTTTATGTTAAGTTAAGATTGCACACAACACCTCTCAGTATTCACACTGGTGCTTTACAGTCTTGGGAGAAAAACTCTGTAAATGAGCAACCTCACTATATATCATGCAGCTGGGTACAGCTCAGCCAAACTGGGGATCAGGACATTACAGTTTTCTGAGTTAACCCAACTATTGCTGCTTTTTAACCCGAGTAATCCATCCTTCATTCATCTGGGTATAGCAGAGGTTTACAGACAGACTTTATCGTACTGACTCCATTCACAAAAAAAGCCGAACCAACCAAACAAACTTAAAACAAAAAACAAACAAACAAAAAATCCCAAATATGGTAAGGGGCTCAAAAAATGTCCCTCTATGCAAAGACAAAAATCAATAAGAATTTATATTGGGAAGAATTACAGGGGGAAAATACTGCATCAGCCCACATCAGTCAGTGCTCCACTGATCCTTTCAGCCTCATTCAGGCATTTCTCTGGTCATAGTTGAATTCTCCTTGCATACTTCAAAGTCAAGGTTACCCATAGGTCTTAACCCGTCCTGTTTAAGTCCTAAAGTGGATTACAATTCATAGCCTGCAAACAGATTGGTCAAAAAACATCAATAAGGTGACCTCTGAAAGTATTATGAACTATTCACTTCTCACAGATCCATGTGGCTGTTACTTAAAGATCAAGCATGGGCTGACTGTTTCCAAGCCACACAGGTTACCAGCAAAGCAAAGAGGAAATTATCAGTTCATCATCATTGGCTTTTCAGTTATGACTAATTCCCCAAAGAAGTGACGCTGCCATACAGAGGACAGATGAGTCCTCTTGAGTCTTACAAATAGGCCAAAGGAAGTGGATTGGGACAGTGGTCCAACTTTTGGTGGTTTTGGGGTTGGTTTTTGTTTAGTTTGGTTTTTTTTCCAGAAGACATTTTTGGTAACATGTCAGGTTTAACATATGGCACTGGGGAATACACCTTCTGTTTAGTTTAAAAATTGCTGCTAAGAAAAATGCTATGGGAAAGACTTTCTAATTAAAAGTGAAAACACTGGATTGTAAAACAAGCTGACACACAGTGATTTGTGCTGGCTTAAACATACAAAGAAAAGCAACATTCCTTCCATTGTTTTCTGCTCCTTCACCCGCATGTCACCTGTATAAATGACCTTCTTTCTTACTTGAGTTCATTGGCATTAAGTGCTATTTATGTTTAGTTTATAATTAGAGATGTCCAGATGACTAGGTAAGGCTTTATCTTGGACAGGTTTTGTTTTTCCTTTTCTAAAGGAACAGATATATGAGGAAGGGGCTTGGTGCTGGTCTGTGCTGTGAGTAAAGTCCTAT